GAAAACTGCCAATACTATGCCGGAATACTATAAAAATACTGTCTTCCCAAGCCGGCATACTATAAAAAATGTAGCTTTCAAACGTCGGTTCTATTGATCGTCTGCTTCATCACATTACGATCCCAAGATGCGCGATTATCGGAGGCGGCGATCCATCGTGGCCTGGTACTGCTACGTCCGAAACAAATGCTAAGGATACTCGTCGCCGCTGCCTGCGCAGCGACTGCGCCTCGTCTCACACACCACCGCAGCCCGCGCAGCTACTGCGCCGCGTCTCACACACCACCGCAGCCCGCGCAGCTACTGCGCCTCGTCTCACACACCACCGCAGCCCGCGCAGCTGCCGCGTCTCACACACCACCGCAGCCCGCGCAGCGACTGTGCCGTGTCTCACACACCACCGCAGCCAGCGCAGCGACTGCGCCGCGTCTCACACACCACCGCAGCCCGCGCAGCGACTGCGCCGCGTCTCACACACCACCGTTCCCAGAGAAATAAAATGGCTTTCGCCCCTTTGCTTCACGGTCTCTCGCAAGTCGTGGAAAAATGACAACTTTTTTGCTATCTGAGATTGGAATTTTCGAGAGCCCCGTCATGGGTTCTTGAGGACCACTTGACCAGCTGCTGTCAGAACTGTTATTGCTGGGACTTTTGTCAGCCCATGCGGTGTGCACTAGCAAACTTTATCAAGCACCCTTCAGCTCCACTACTTCATTAAATGTGATTTACCATAACATTTCGTTGGATAATCCATCATATTAATATGCTCGTCCTAATCTTCTAACAAATATTAATTAAGTCTTTTCGTGGTTGTTCATGGAGGTTAATGTTGGCCCATGACTTGGAAACTTGGGGAAGTTTACATTCCTCATAAATTTATACATAATAATATGCACACTTTACTGTATACTTTAAAATTAAAGACTGCTTAGGTATATTGTAATTTAACAACCTGAACCATGCACAGATGACAGGTTAGTTTTCCTCTTTATCTCAAGTACTTATAATAAACAACGTGCAAAGGAACATGAATAGAATGTTGCTACACAACAACTAATAAATAAGTGTTTACGTTTTACAACACCGTCTCAAGTTATCAAGTGAAGTATATATTTATATAATTTTATCAACCCAGACTACATACAAAATGTACATATCAGCCGAATTTTAGATTGAAAATGATTCATTTTTGAAATCAATTGAGATTTATCATCGAGCTGTGTCTCAGAAATTTTTGAAAGGGTTTATCAAAATGAAATTATATATTATAATGCTATACTGCTCTACAATGTGATGAAACTTCCAATTTCCACGTGGATCCTGTAACAAAAACCTCATACCATGGAGCAGCGAGCTCAGTTTGAATGCTTTTTGGTCATCAATTGCTTGGGAGCGGCAATAAAGCAGCGCCCAAGTGAGCATTAGCATGCAAACGGGACAAGCTTCATGTGGCGCACGAGATGAGGGCCATTAAAAGCTCCCAACTTACTTCTTCTGATCAATGCCTTTCATGAACACGATATTCACTGCGGCATATGAACTATCAATTGAGGTTCCTTTGGTGATTGTTATCTCCCAACTTACTTCTTCTGATCAATGCCTTTCATGAACACGATATTCACTGCGGCATATGAACTATCAATTGAGGTTCCTTTCGTGATTGTTATCGGAAAACGTGCTACTGAATTAGATGTAAGAATTTAAACTGAAATTATGGCGATTGTTTCGGTTATCAAGACAAAATTTAGATATAAGTTTGCTAACTTTAATTATAAATTCTCAAAGATAAGTCGGTGCAAACGCACGTGTACTTTCATTCAGACGGAATTATTAACCGGACAACATTACATCAATAATGCACAATAATTGGCCCAATAATGTGCTAAATCGTCTCTTATCAAGGTCGTTCTATAACAAGCTGTATATGAAGACTTGTTTCATCACATGCTCTTCCGTTGCATGGTTATTAGTGTTGAAAAACATGTTTTCGTCGGAGGGGACTTGTCGATTTGCCTAAAGGTACTTGGACAGCATAACGCTATTAATAATATTAAAATATGAATTTAAAAGAATATTGAATATGGCGAGAAAATAAACTTCAGTCAATGACAAGAAGAAGGCTGGATGACGATTGATGACGTAAACTACTAATCAACGTGACGAAATAAGACGACAGGCTGTTATGAACCACAGGCTACGATGTAACACTCATCATGCATGTAATTATTAATAAAAAAACAAGTATTTTGTCCTGGAGTTCATACAACATGAGCATTTTCAAATTAATTTCATTAATAAACCAACGAAGTAATGAGAGAATAATTTACTTTCATTTAACTGTCATCGTCAACGAGCATGGAAAAATCAATAAAATTAATTGGAAATAAATTTGGACTATTTTGGGGCAACACAACTTTAAAATAAACCAAACGAAGAACTTTCCAACGATCCTCTTTGTAATTCAAAGTATTGGAAATATGACTCCTGCTTCTGAACTTTCCTTAAATTTCGCTTTCGTCCGGATAATTATGATTATTTTCCAACATACTCTGATAATCTCTCAATATATTTTTTAGGATTTGGTCTCCTTTTCCAGATTGTGTTTTCAGTGCATTTTCCTATCAATAATTTAATGCAAAGTTTTTGACTTTGATCTATGGGCTTTACTATCTATGGTATTTCTTATTGCAACTAATTTCAACACTCTGCAACATTTCCCAATTTGTTTCAACAAAGCGATTCAAATTCCCACAATTTCCTTTAAAATAATTCAATGTGTTGAAAATGTTCTATAATGCGATGAACTTTCAATAGTTTTATGGTGGACAATCATCACTTTTTCTCGCTTACCTACTAATTTTTAAATTCATGAAATATCCGCTGAATTTTTCCAGCACAAACTGCTTTTAAAAGTTCGTGACTCCATGAAACTTCTTGCGTGCCTGAGGTGTCTCAACGAAGGACGCAAGGTCTCAACGAAGGTGTCTCAAGGACGAAGGTGTCTCAAGTAGGACGCATTTCAGCGTGAGTGAAGACTCTTGTTTGCTTCGTGCCTCAGCGAACGGCTATCGACAAAATGGAGTGTGATCAGGAACGGCTATCGATTTCTGTTAATGGAATTGCATACATTTCCAGATTTGTATCAGAATCATTATGGTTCAGCGTGTCGAGGCTATTGGTTGGAAATTTACGATGGATTTTTCAATGGATCAAATGCTGAGATAGCATCTCAAATTGCTCATGCTCATTTCATAACAGTTAGCAAGCATTATCGATGAAGTGAATAATTCGGAAGCAAGTACAAGATGAAGCTTCTTTTTCTTACTCTTAAGCAACACTTGTACCCTTCCTTTTGCCTTTTTTTTCTGCCACATTCATGCGAATAATAAAAATCAGCGCTTCATTAAGAAACCGTTTTACATACAACAGCCTGTGTTTCTCGTGCGTCATTACCGTTGAGTCACATTAAGTTTTGAAGTTTCTCAATTGATACTCAATTTGTAAATTTTGAGCATTAATATTGATGCTACGGTGTTTTCTACTCTACGATGCATAAACCTAAATATTTCACTATAGAGGAATTGTTCCTTTGCAAGCACATCCACTTTTCCGAATTGCAGCACATCCACTTTTTTATACCGTACAGTCTTATTGGAATTGATGTATAGTATTTGCATGGTTGCAGTTCAGCTTATATTGATGCTGTTGCGGTCAGCTCCGGCACACGAAACTTGGTCCTCTGAGGAGAGCTAGTCAACTGTTTGGGGTCGAGTGCAATCACTAAAGTTGCTCACTAAACAAACACTTCTGGACGAGCTTTCGGTTTGTGCCCGAAGTCCCGACGAAACTGGACTCATTTAAGCCGGTGCTTGTAACGAAGGCGCCTGTCGGGAAACTGGCAAATTGCAACCGAGAAATTCGTCTAAACTAGAAAATTTATCAGGGAGTCCCAAGCTAAAGTTTTATCTACGTTGAGTTTAATTGAAATCGCGCCTGCAGTACTTTCTCTCACGAGATATTCTTCCTAGATATTTCTGCAGATAATAAAACAGTTTTTTTCAGGAATATGCACATTCACTTTAAAGAAAATACATTACTCATTGAAGAAACGCTAATACAGTTTTAGACCGGTTAAAAGAATCCAATCTAAAGTTTGAATTTACATCAGAGTTAATTTGGAATCTCACTCTACGTGTTTGGACTGAAAGTCTTTCGCCCGATTCAATTGAAATATGCAATCAGTGACTTCGAAAAATATAACTAAGAATTTTTCGGATTTGACTTCAGAAAAATATTTTCATTTTAAATGTTCTGCATTTCAAATATAAGTTCTTGAGCTCTTTATTTAAGGCTTAGATTGACACTAACTAACTTGATTGATCCGAGTGCTTCAGTTATTGTATAATGAACTCAGAATGGAACGAAATATATTTCACTATACAAATTTATTTGCTGGACTCATTATCGGTTATTACTAAGAAAAAATATAATTATAAATCGATCAGGTTATTATATCTTAGCAATTGATGAAATTAATTTTTTATGAGCATTAATTATGCCTGGGAATAAACTCTCATAAACACGAAATTCATTGTCATATAAATCATTAGACTATGAATATGTCACATATGAATGAAACTGTACGCATTCAGTTAAAAAAAATTATTTCTTGAACGAGGTTATTTTTCATGTTGGGTTTCGAGAAATCAAGCGGCAAGCAATAATCATGTTCCTATACCCCGATTAGAGGACTTAACGCAATTAAATATATTCTATGGTCATATTATTTTACTCATAAAAAGGATAATGATGTTGTTGACATAGTTAACAATTGCAATGTTTATTAGTTGTAAGCTTTTCTTATGATCATTTATCATTGTTTTTAATTTGTTTCTAATAAGATAAAACGACTCAATGGAGCATATGCAGAGGATAAGAGAAGTATACGGGATATTCACGTAATATTTAACTCACTATTCGAAATCCGATTCATCGCCATGAGTGGTCATGGATATTCAATGCAAATATTTATTTAAGAAATGTAACATGAAATAATACTTCAGAATACTTGAAGATGTGATAGGAAGAGTTTGCAGACAAGTTTCGTAGTGAGCACCGTTAGAGCACGGCATGTAGGCGAGTGGCAAGAAGCTTTCTATCTCAGCGGCACGTCAATTTCCAAGTTTGAGCCTCCGATATTGAAGCCCGACTGGAATTTCGTGCGTTGAAGTCGTCGTTGGAACAATGATAGCGATTCTGTGGAGGGCAAGAGTTTCTGCCAGCCAAGAGGGAGCAATGAACGGCGTCTTGAAAAATGATCCAAACTTTGTGTAATTCCAAACTCTTCTCTCCGATATTTCCATGAAACTTCATCGGTCTTCCATACCTTCTTACTTGCCAGCCGTTGGAAAAAATCGACGCTTCTTCTCAAGAAAAGTTTTCAAAAACTGCGATAAGATTCTCGTTGCGCTGTGTCGATGTGAGTATGAAAGAAGTAAATGAAATTTTAAGTGTATTACTGATACTAGGGTGTTGATTCATAGCAAGTAAGAGTTTTACGGTACATTTAACTCAATGTTATAGGCTGAAATTAGTGCGAAATCTTTGTGCAAGTAATAATAGATTAATTATTTCAGCGTCAACGTTGAGAATCAGTTTATATTCACAAAGAGTCATTGTTCAAATTGAAAATCATCCCAAGAGACGCTGATCAATAATTTTTTCTCGATTGTAAAAATATTTTCGGTAGAAAAAAGTTACCATGAGCCAAGTTTTACTCGCGTTGAAAAGAAGCAATTTTTAATGTCGATCATTTATTAAGTTAAGGCAATTTAAATTTGGAACTTGTGACCAAATTCGTTCACAAAATGCAAAAAAAAACATTACAAAATTATTGTTATCATGAAAACAGGTAGAAATGTCAAGGTTTTTGTAACTCATAAAAAAGAATCTCAGAATTCCTTAGGAAAGAAATTAATCTATATTCGAGTTGAACTCTACGCAACATAATATAAAATTATTTAAATTATGTCTTGACATTGGCGCCATTTGAACCGCTCAACAAGGTTGAATCCATTATTAATTAATTGGTACGTCTAAATCTTTAACTCCCGCCTGAAATACTTTTAAGTTTTTTAAATAAAATAAAATGTTCCAAGTTTCATTTAATTGTCTGTTATTCTGGATTCAGTCGCAATGTGGACAGTCAATGAAAGATACTATGGAAGTTCACTTTACCTGGAATATAATATATACTATAATATACATCCTTACATTCCATACATCCTTCCTTACATTCGATTATGCCGAAAATTGTCACTAAAATCATGAGTGATGTCGAGGATCGTGATTTTTAAAACGAAGGTTCAACTATATAATAACAAAGTCGCAGTAGTTTGTATATTTTGACCTCAATCATAACCATGCATATAAAACATAAGTCCTTTACAAAAACCTCTTTGAAGCTTCAACATCGCAGATTATTCAGCATTTTTATCTTTGAAAGTTTCTAGCCTCACGGCCTTTTTTATTCGAACCACGAACGAATAATCTAGGAAGTTAACGAAATTTCTTTCTGATCCTTCTCTGCATAATTAGGAGTTTTCCCCACATCACGTTCTTCATTTGAACTTTTCAAAGTTTCCAGATCGTTAACTGTTCCATGATCAAGGGTGATATTTCCATTGAGTTTTTTCAGCTTGATTTCCTTCTCCTTGAGCAGGTTTTGCCTGAGTGACGTGAACTGAGGCAGCAGTGATGGACAGAAGGCCAAGTGTGGCCTTGCTTCCTCAAGAGTGGCCAAGGCCTGCGCTGTGTCGCCGCTGTCCGCTGAAATGAACGGTTAACTATATTCATTACCATTTTCTTATCGTATGACAAAGACAATAATTCCTTTATATTTATTATACAATTTGAATGGGTATATAACCATCATACATGAATGGTTATGTAATTTGTTTTACAACAATAAGCATGTGAAATAAGTTTTACAACATTAATAAACTTGTGTTCATGTTCTGGGATTCAAAGACCGGCTCATAGAAAAGATGTAATATAATGCGATGCACTATTTTTATGAAATATTATGAAAATTTCATCTGGTAGCAGAAACCCGCACCTTATGAATGGTAATCGAATAATGATCATTCTGAAATGAATGATGTTGATCCGGTGATCAATTATCTGATATGTCATAAGTTTTTTCTTCTAATTATTTACGAAACACGATTTAAATTGAGTCACAATTCAAAAATTTAACGACCATTTTGAATTTTTGATATTTTCGAAATCATAGTTGAGAAACGATAAAATTTTTTGGTGGGTAATATTTATACACAAAGATGACGGATACAGAGAAGGAGGAAATTATCCCTGATGAAATATTTACAATCGAATGAACTTGCATCTGTGGATTTTATCCCGAATATATTTCGTTATCATTGGATATTTATCGTACACTTCCATACTCAATTCTTTTTTCGATTCAACATCTAAAACGCGGCTCGTAGATGATTCAATTTGTACGCTTTAGACACCACCATTTGTGGCAATCCGTTGGACAACCTAGTGTTCGCGTGAAAAAAGATAAAAATTCGTTTGCTTTCATTCGTTAGCACATTTTTGGTGGTTCAAAAATGCGTCACATGTGTGGCAAACTGGCGAGAGATGCATCGTGTACATTTATCTGTTCTGTTAAAGCAATACCATTGTGCCAAAGGAACAACTTGAATTTAACATCGGAATTTAACATGCTGCATGGCGACATAAGGCGGATATAAGTCAGTAAAATTTTCTTCTTCATCATTTTCTTATGGAAATTTGCGATGAATGTTACTCATAAAATAACATCTACCCATTATGCCAGTCAACATGTAAAGCTGCAGTCAACATGTAAAGTTGCCGCAGCAACCACAGTCTTGCTTTAAAGCGATAAAACCATGTCTTGATAACTATTGATTTATTTCTAGAGCAGCGCCAGGCCAGTGTTGATATTGGCAAGAACTTACAGAGCTATAAGTAGAGCTGCATAAATAATAAATTAAAATCATGGCGAGTTTCTCTTTTCGTTTGTGACATCAGTATTATATTGATAGGGTTTCTTTAATGTTTTAGATAAGATTGATAGTTAAATTTTACATGTTTTAGATAAAATTGAGAGTGAAAAAGCTTCATTTTATCGAATAACCAATCAATTTATTTTTACTTGATTTTCCGAACTTAATGCTCTATATGGTTGATAATTTAGAAGATAATTAATCTGGAAAGTTGGTTATGACTTTTTAACACAAAAAATGTTTAAAGTCAATGTTTAATTATCTAAAAATGCCTAGTTTATTATCGTTAGTCCTCTCAATTGCCGGTATCGTTATTTTACTAAAAGTATATCACAAAAGCATCTATATGTCGGCGTTGAAGTTTAGGCCAAATCTGGCCTGTTGCTTATTCTTTTGATGTCCGGTAATTGTTTACGTGATGTCCAAAATATATTTCGTGACGTCTTATAGTCACATACCTACAAACTTTTATGTTGATGCCATATAGAGCTTATGGTCCTTAACAGCAGTTTCTGGTGCTGATAACGTCTTGATATGCATTGTATAACGTTAGGTACAGGAGAGAGTGATTTATTATTAGTATACCAGATATTTTAATAAATTAACTGTTATAGTAGCTCATTATAGAAGTTAATAGCACTACAACACTATTGAAGCGACAAGTCTTCCATCCGTGAGAATCTTTCAGAAAGGGTTGTATGTGGGAAATATAATTGACTTTTTCTAAGCTATACTTCGAACAAAAATGTTTCAGGGTTCGTTCTCCGGCAAATGATGAAATCTATCATATACTTTCCTCATTCGAGCTGACAAAATGTCTACAGTATTGATAAAAAATATTGGACATTACTCGAGGTACCCTTTCATTTAGAAATGAATCAAATGAATGAACAATATCAGTTCTACCAAAACTGATGAAGAGAGAATGAAACAGCACTGCATTCGCTTCACTTGAATCGAAATCGCCCCTTTTGTAGTCCAGAAACTGCGTTGCAGTTGCGTTCTAACAGTAGGTTAAAAGAGCAGTAAGTTAAAAGAACAATAGGTTAAAAGAGCAGTAGGTTAAAAGAGCAGTAGGTTAAAAGAGCAGTAGGTTAAAAGAGCAGTAGGTTAAACGAGCAGTAGGTTTAAAGAGCAGTAGGTTAAAAGAACAGTAGGTTAAAAGAACAGTAGGTTAAAAGAGCAGTAGGTTAAAAGAGCAGTAGGTTAAAAGAACAGTAGGTTAAAAGAACAGTAGGTTGAAAGAGCAGTAGGTTAAAAGAGCAGTAGGTTAAAAGAGCAGTAGGTTAAGCTGTCGAAAAATTACTCGTTCGTTAATGGCTGCAATGAGCCTGTTTAGCATGCACAATTTTTTAGCTCAAGGTTGCGGGCTTGACGCTGCAACATTCCAGTAATTGTCGATGCGGAGCTGAATTCTGTATTTTAAGAATTAATATTATGCTGATGAGCCCTTTATATTTATTGCGCCTTTGCACACGTCTCACTCATATGTAAACATGCAGAATATAAATATTACTGCATACGGTACTATTTATTATATTTTTTATTATTATATTATTTTATTTTTAATATATTTTTATTTATCATATTTTTTGTATTTTTTATTTAATATTATACAGTGGAGCGTACAGTAATTACATATAAAGCTTAGTATACGTACTGATCTAATTAATGCTCATCAATGCTCCTGAAATCGTGTTGCCATTGTTTTCATGCTGCGTAAAATTATCGCAAAAAAAAGTTTTTTACAATAAATGAAAGAATTTTCGGACGAAGAGGAAATTTTAATGCAGAGCTTATCCCATTAGTTGCCTTGCCGCTCGGCCACCTGTCCGCACCTCCACACGCAGGGTAACACGGAAAACAAAATGTTCTCGTAGTGAAGTGTGTCAACTATAAAGTAGTGCTACTGTCGCATGGCTAAGAAATAAAATGTTATTATTGGATTGAATGAATTACACGTAATTTTCATTCACAGTAAAAAAATAGGTTTAATTTCTTAGAATCCTTTTGACAATATTATGAAAAAAAGTATGTCAAGCATTACCAGCACGGCTGTTTTCTTTTTCGTGTGATTTTCGATCGAATATTCGTTGCTGTGGCCTGATCGAATTGATCAGAATGGTTACAACCCTATAGTGATGCCCTTCATATTGTAGAAATCAAAGGACATTATCATCGCTGGTCCCGTACTCATATCATATGTTTTGGCTAATATAAGTTATAAGGGTCCTTATAATAAGATTACAAAGACATGACACGTCAACATTAATGATATGAAATTGGCTGTTCATTCGATATTTTCTAGATTAAATAGGGAATTTCATTGAGCAGATGAAATCTATGTTACCACAATGTGAAAGATGTGTTAGACGAGTTATTTTGGATTAGTTAAGCAAAATTGGTCGTGGTGAAGTGGCAAGTTTGTTTCAGTGTTATAGATGTTCTCTAATTCCAACAGTCACATTTTTAATATCACTCATTGCTTGTTCTCCAAGAAGCAATTCCTATCGAGCAATATTCAATTCACTCTATATAATTCAGGTGTCGAATTATGCAAACATGAAAAATCTTGGTTATTTCCTTCACTTAGCAGTGCGAGGCAGGCAAGTCGAGCTTCTAGCAATTAGGCTTCAGGCCGATCAAATCAGGCCAATTAAAGAGAAGCGCGTAATTAGCATCGATAGAAGCAGGAGTCTCTTTTCACCGAACTGGGGGCAATACGGACGCTATGGGAAGTATATGGGAGGCTAGAAAATTTAAGTCTGTCCATCGGGCGTAAACACAGGAGCTTATTACTGGCAAATTAAGTATATGTTCAATAATATTTTCCCAACCTATATATTTTCAACGATCGTGGACTGATTATAGGTAGCATTGAAAGGTGAACATCGGGCGTACGCATGGGTACTCGACGTGGACGGCGTATGGGTGCAATTATGAAAACGTCATCTATCACTGCCCCTGTAAACACATTCCCTTCCATCGGCACGCTTCCGGCTCACTGTAATTAAAATTGAACAAACGCTGCTCAAATTGCCCTTCAGTTCGGCGTGACCTGAGATAGTTAACGTCTAATGAATGGCTATGTTCTTAACATCGGCGCTTGATTGCATTTGCTGCTGATGATGAGGGGAACTGTGCTGCATCCACAGCGCTGGGTATGAGCTGACCAAGTGTCAAATTTTCATTTGGTTTCATTTACGCATTTATAACTTCTCGTTGTAGATGCGTACATTTTTGCATTAACTTTTTTGCTTCTTATTTAATCATATACATTTGAATATAAAAAATTCTATGAACGACATGGTCACATTTTTGTCATTTATTCTTAACTGAACATTTGAGTGGTCCTATTTTTTGCGCTGAATTAGAAAAAAATTTTAAAACAGACAATGTTTGGTGGTTCCAGAAAGGCTTTAGCTGTTTTTTATTAAAAATAAAAATCGTTACACAATGACTCAGCAGTGCACCGGATTAAAGAATCGGCAATTTTCGATTGACCGCTATAATTGAAAATCCAATATATAATGAAAATAAGCATTGATTTTTAGTATCTCACTCATTAATTAAGTTATTTCACATCTAAAATCATCTATACCATATCTATATTGCCGTTTGAATTTCAACAATATGGTAATCATTGGCGATATCTGAAATAAATTATTTGTGGAAGTGTTGGTCGTCATTATTTCACTGTTGAATTATGTATTAAGTTAACAACTCTCTCAGCTAACTTATTGAAAATTGCGAGAACCCTCAATTTTATTTCAG